CCATTTTTAATAATTTTTGCCATTTTTAGTAATTTTTGCCTGTTGAACTGTTCTGCTTGAACAGTTCATGCCAGAGACTAAACCACTGGGAACTTTGGAGTCATAGGAATTACAAGTATTAAGAGAAAAGCATTTTAGTGGTGATATAGTTACTAGGGGAAGAAGAAACAAGATAAAAGGATGGCCCATCTGGCTTGGATGTGAACAAAACAAGAGAGACACTAAGTCATACATAAGGGACTAAGCTCAGCCTTTAAGGAAAAGTTACTGTTTTGGTTTTGGGTAGTTTGTTTTTGAGTTAGAGAGTTCTCCTGAGGATCTTTCCAGTCCAAGTTTCCAGCAAAGAAGAGGGTCTGAGATCCCAACTCCTTCTACCTTTTTTAAATTTTTTTTACCTAAGTAATATATTGTGTCCATTAAATTGCATGCTATTTTCTTAAACAGGAGTAAATAGGAGAGCTCTCTGCCCTGAACATGTAAGAGAATGTCAGACACTCTCATACTAGTGCTGATCATTAGCTCATTGTTGAACATTAAGCTATAACAGTAGGGCAGGACAACTAAGATTTTGAGAACACAGCCAGGTGCATGCCAGGGAAATCATCTGCATGCAGTTAAAGGATCATTTGCATACAAACTTTATGTGTAACACTGGGAGCTGTTTCACCTGCGTTATGCACAAGAGGAAACTTCTGTCCCCTGCCCCTCATTCCCATCTTACTGCCTGACCTCCAACAGAGACTCCCAGGCAGAAGTGTCCCCAAGGATCATCTTGTACATATTTTGCATCCCCTCAGTGGTCCACCACTTATCACTTTTTCATTCCATATGTTCATCAACTCCTCAGACAGGCAGCCACCCTGGTCACTCCAGATCCCACATGCCAGCTGACTCTGACTACTCCTGACATAAGGCAAAAAAAGCTTCAAGTGTGAGCATACTTCTCATTTGCACGTTTTGATTATTCTTCCAGCTAGAGCAATCTGGCCTTTGCAGTGCCATTTATTATACACACAGTCTATGTCAGTCCCTGTGCTTGATAGGGGGTTGGGGAGGGAGTCACAAAGATAAATCAAGACATGTCCCCGCCCTCAAGTTATAGCCAAGTAGAGACCACCAATGCATAAAGACCTAAAATGCAAACAGTGCCATAAGAAAGGTATGAATAAAAAGCTAAGGAAAGACACATGCAGAAGCAATTAATTCTTCTTGGGAGAGTCACAGAAAGCAAGAGAGATATGATATTTACAGGATATGCAGGAGCTGGCAAAGTAGACAGGGAATGGCAACCCAACCCAAGCCACGGGGAAAGTATGAAGTGTGCAAGTACACAGACAATCTCCACAGACAGTTCACCTGTCAAGGCAGAAAAGACAGGGCTAGGTTATGAAAGGCTTTGCTAGCAGTTAGGACTATGGAGGTTCTTCTACAGGCAACAGCGGTCTTCTAGAAGGGTGCGTTCCCAGGTCAGATTTGTGTTAGGAACGTAATTCCAATGGAATTGTAGGAGGCCTTTATGGGTTTAGTCGACTTTACTGGCAATTTGGGAACCTTCTGAGGAGGGGTTGTATTATATAGTGCACACTCCATCCTCATGTTATGGCTCCCTGTTCTCTCTCTCTCCCTATCTAGGCTCCCATTTCCAAAAGAAAGTTCCCAATTCTTTTTTTTTTGAGATATAATTGACATGTACAATCATGCGTTGCTTAACGACGCGGACAGACTCGGAGAAATGCATCGTTAGGTGATTTAGTTGTTGTGCAAACATCATAGAGTGTACTTACACAAACCTAGATGGTCTAGCCTACTACACACCTAGGCTACATGATACTAATCTTATGAAACCACCGTCGTATATGTGATCCATCATTGACTGAAATGTTATGCAACACGATTATAACGTTGTATTAGTTTCAGATGTACATGATTCAATATTTGTATATATTGCAAAATGATCACAATAAGTCTAGTTAACATCCATCACCACTGTTACAAATTTTTTTCTTGTGATGAGAACTTTTAAAATCTATTCTCTTAGCAACTTTCAAATATACAATACAGTATTAACTATAGTCACCATACCGTACATTATATCCCCATTATTTTATAATTGGAACTTTGTACCTTTGAACTCCTTCACCCATTTTGTCTACTCCCGCCCCTCCTCTGGCAACCACCAATCTATTCTCTGTATCTATGAGTTCAGTTTTGGGTTTTTTTTGTTTTCATTTTGGACTCCATGTATAAGTAAGGTCATATGGTATTTGTCTTTCCCTGTCTGGCTCATTTCAGTTAGCATAATGCCCTCAAGGGCCATCCATGTTGTCACAAATGGCAAGATTTCCTTCTTTTTTTATGGCTGAATAATATTCCACTGAATAATATTCTATTGGATATATATGTATTCTCTTGGATATATATGTATTCTCTTGGATATATATATCCATTCTTCCACTGATGGACACTTAGGTTGTTTTCATGTCTTGGCTATTGTAAATAAGCTGCAATGAATATGGGGGTGCAGATATTTTTTTGGTAGTGTTTTCATTTCCTTCAGATAAATACCCAGAAGTGAAATTGTTAAAGATCATATGGTAGTTCTATTTTTATTTATTTATTTTAACTTTTTGTGTGGGTTTTTTTTTTTTTTTTGTGAGGAAGATTAGCTCTGGGCTAACATTTGTGCCTGTCTTCCTCTACTTTATATGAGACACTGCCACAGCACGGCTTGACAAGTGGTGCATTGGTCCACACCCGGGATCTGAACCTGCGAACCTCAAGCCAGAGCAGAGCGCGAGAACTTAACTGCTACGCTACTGGGCCGGCCCTGGTAGTTCTATTTTTAATTTTTTCTTTTTGTGAGGAAGATCAGCCCTGTGCTAACACCTGCTAATCCTTCTCTTTTTTTGCCAAGGAAGACTGGCCCTGGGCTAACATCCGTGCCCATCTTCCTCCACTTTATATGGGACGCTGCCACAGCATGGCTTGCCAAGCAATGCGTCAGTGCATCCCCGGGATCCAAACCCGTGAACCCCGGGCTGCCAGTAGAGGAGCGCGCACGCTTAACCACTTGCACCACAGGGCCGGCCCCATATTTTTAATTTTTTGAGGAACCTACATACTGTTTTCCATAGTGGCTGCACCAATTTACATTCCCACGAACAGTGCATAAGCGTTCTTTTCTCCACATCCTCACCAACACTTAACTTCTTGTCTTTTTGATAATATCCATTCTAACAGGTGTGAGGTGATATCTCATTGTGGTTTTGATTTGCATTTCCCTGATGATTAGTGATGTTGAGCATGTTTTCATGTACCTGTTGGCCATCTGTACGTCTTCCTTGGAAAGATGCCTGTTCAGATCCTCTGCCCATTTGTTAATCAAATTATTTGAGGGGGTTTTTTGTTTTGTTTTTGCTATTGAGTTGTATGAGTTCTTTATATATTTTGGATATTAACCCCTTATCAGATATACGATTTGCAAATATTTTCTCCCATTCGGTAGGTTGCCTTTTCATTGTGTTGGAAAGTTCCAAATTATTAACCCTCTATTATGCAGAGCAGCTTCTCCACATCTCAAAAATCTTGGCCCCAGCCACAACTCAAGCCAGCAGGGGCTCCTTCCATGCTTAATAATTATCAAAGCATTTTTCTAAATAAAGGCAGTTATTTTGTTAAGAGAAATTCTGTTCTATTAAATTATAAACTGTTATATTACCAGCTGTTAAAGGTAATATAAATTTCTTTATCTCATCACACACGAGTCATCTACAATATCAGCAACATTCTAAATATTTTACACATGATGGAAATTATTATGAAACATATTTATGCTTGAGAAACACATGAAAGTATTCCCAAATTTATTTCAGCATTTTAACATTCAAGGTAAAATAACTACAGGACACTGTGTTATGCTTGTTTTAAAAAAGGTTTATTTGTTACAAAATGTTAAATACTAAAGCTAAAAACATATAAATTCAGGTCAGGCTATATTAAAATACACACATACCCTTCTTTGCAAAATTATTAAAGATTGAATTAAACAGATGCTTTAAATAAAATAAAGTACTCTTGAGAACATTTTTGTCTGATTAACTATATCAGTGTAGTGTAGTTTTTTAAATTACAGTTGAAAAGTTTAGCTGTCTTGGAAGTCAAATTTATCCAAATTTTCAGTTTTCTGCTACTGCCCAATATGAAGCCACCATGCTGGCTCGCAAGGGTGAATTTCAGTTATGTTACTGAAACTTCCATATTACAAGCCTACTCTCCTATAATATGAACACAGAGTAGTCAGAATTATACAAAGGGTTATATGAGGTGAAAACCTGGCCTAGAAAGAAAAGGCCTTAGTTCTACCATACAGTATCTTCTCTAATTAAAATGATTGGTAAATATATTGAAGCAGAGACCAGCACAAAGCATACATTCATCTAGAAATAATCTTTCAGTCAAAAAAATCTAAAACAGCACTCCTTTCTCCAAGATAGTTTATAAGTATTTTTTAATTTCTTGTTATTTTAAATTGAGTTAATTCAAAGGTATTGAAGAGTCTAGGTTTAAAAACTAATTTGGCTACTGTTCTGATTAGCTCTGGAGGGCTGTGACATCTGTGTGTTTATGTCACTCACACAGGTGGTAAAGAACTTTCATAATAAAAACTATATGCTCAACACCAACAGGGCACCAGTTTCCAAACCCAACTTCCACTGAGGTCAAACGACCTAAAAACTATCTACGGTCTATTTAAATGTTAAATAGTATTTTCAAGAAAACATTTTATTTTGCTTTAGAATTTGTATTTTTCAATTTCCTAGATTAAAAGTTACTGATTTAGAATTCTTAGTGCTGTAATTCACATTTAAGAATATGCTTATGAAGAACAAAAGGCTACCAGTGCATTTTAAAAGGTCTTAAATGTGAATGAATTTCTAGAAATCTACTACAGTATCTATTCTTTACAATGCTAATCCTTATCAAATGGGATTTGCCAATAGTTAACTCAAGTGATTAAAATACAAAAAAAAAATAAAACGCATTCCAGTAATCTTCATCAACACAATCCAATTCAAATCAGGTTTCTTAGAAGATATATGTAGGGAATTTTTACTGTCTTACTCTGACAATGTTGGTATATATCCGAGGGCTAACTGTACAGCAGTATGTCTAATACTATGGTGTAAAATTGTTTAATCAAACCTTTGAATAGTTGGAAAAACTATGTGTATTCTAAAGTCATTGGAAATTAAAAGAAAAATATATTCCAATATTCAATTACAGATAAAAATGATGCTTAGAATAAATAGTAATCTAGTTTTCCATCTCTCAGCTTGTGAGCTTCTGATGTAACTATTTCTGTTCATATGTGATCCAAGGGAAACTATAATTCTGTCCTCTATCCTAGTACCATCTTTTCTACGTGTACCAAGTCTTTATATTCTTTCTTTTAACTTACTGAGTAATCTTGAAGGACAAGATTCATGCTACTCTTCATCAAATAACCATGCAGTCCTCAGAAAGAATTCAAACAATTCAAGCCACTGACATCCTAATCTTAGTAAATACACTAAAACAAAAACTCTTGAGTCTTCACTAGCGAATTCTCTAGAAAGCATCTTTTACTATGAGCATCTTTATAAATGCATATTAAAGTCACACTGGTCAGTCACTTTTACCAACATCCTGGTCTTACAGAGTGATTGAGAAAGTATTTGTACGTCTATGACAGAGCCAGAGCTCTAAGTGTTTTAAAGCTAAGACAACATGCCGTATTTCTCACTTGTCAGCCAAGGTGGCAGTGGAGGGAGGCTCTGGGTGGTACAGACTTCCCCAAAGATGGGAAACCACACGTGATCTCTTCCCTCAGCCAAGCCTCCTTCTCTTCCTTTGATGTCAATGCCTCTCTTCTGCTTTCAGAGAGAATGATGTTTGAACAAGAAAACATAGTACATATCCTGCTAGGAAATATTCGTAACTTTGGAGGCCCAGTACAAAGTGAAAATGCGAGGCCCTTCTTCAAACATTATTAAGAATTTCAAGGTGGCGATAGTAGAGCATTAAACCAAGCGTGGGGCCCTTCTAAGCAAGGGGCCCTGTGTGACTAGAAGGGTTACATGGCCATAAAGCCAGCCCTGCGAGGTTTCCTGCCTAATCAGAATCTCAGGGAAGAGACAAGATGGCTCCGCTGGGTTGTCCAGATACAAACAAATTCTTTTTCCATGATGGTTCAAACACTGTCACTGATTTGAAACCAAGTGGCGTTTCACTTTCAAAATCCCAGATAAATTTCTATTCTTAAAATTTCATATTGATCAACCTTACCCTAGATTTCTCATTATAGAATTAGTCATATTGGGTCTTTAAATGCCCCTTATTTTTATAGAGCAATTAATCAGACATGGTGACATTTCTGTATTAATCCTGTATGATTTTTTTTTTTTAATTTAAACATTTCCTAACTAGGAGGGGTATTAATATCACTAAAGCAATAGGGCATCTTAAAGGGAAAAGGTAGCTGTACAACAGCTTCATACACTAGGGTGAAGCTTTAGTTTTAGCCTATGGCAGATTTTGTTCCCTTTTAAGATCACAGTAGAACTAATAAACACATTAAGCAGTATGGTGATTTTTTTTTAACACCCATATTGGTGTTGGTCACAAGAATTTTACCGGAACCCAGAGGTATCCCATTCTTCATAATAATAAAAAGATCGTATGTAGATAAAAGCGCCAGGTTACATTACTAAGCAGCGACACTTCCGGGAGTGAATATACTTCCGGTATTCCGCAAGCTGCTTCAAGTACAAATTCGACGGCCATCTGTGCTTTTCAACAAAACTGCGTTCTTCCACTAAAATTTTTAGAAAAAGAATGTTAATTGAATGTATTTTGTTTTGGATCAAGTTTAGATATTAACTATTGATTTCTTATTTAATAGATGAGATCCAAGCTCTGCTTTATATCCCCTACCCTTCCCTCAAGCCTTCCACAATCATTTAACACACTTTTGGGTTACATCAGTCATCAGGCTTTATGTTATTATGTGATTTACAATTGCAGACATCTTGTCCACTGCTTCATCAAGCAGTATTTTGTTGTGTACTTTCTTTTTTTGTTTTCAAATAGGACTCGTTTTTGTCAGAGATGATAACGAACTTGTTTTTCCATTTTATTAGTTTTCTGTGTAGCTAACCCAACCTTCCAAACACCGTTTAAAATCTTCTCAATTCTATTTTACACCCAGTCACAGTTATCAAATAATCTCTCCACCCCTGTACTGGTGTCATTGTCGTTGCTGCCCTGGGGATCTCCCTTCTCATCGGGGCCCTGCACCCTTTTGCCTTCCAGGCCTGCTTCATTCTTTCCTGTTGGATCCCTCCAGCCCTGGACTCCAGGTCCTTCTCTCTGTTTATTCTCTAGTTTTGGTGAAGCACAACCTTTATTAGCTACCTTAAAAAGAGGGTATGTAACAAGTATTTTTGAGACCTTGCTTGTGATGAAACGTCTTTAATGGATCCTCACACACTATTGATAATCTGGTTTGGTATAGAGTTCTAGGTTGAAAACTTCCCTCCTGATGTTGAAGACAGCACTCCACCGCTTTCTAGTTTCCAAAGCTGTTAAGGACTCCAGTACCATTCAGATTCACAGTCCTTGGTAAGTACTCTGTGTGGTTTTTTTTCAATCTGGTAAACTTTTAGATTTTTCTACTGATAGTCAGTGTTCTTGTACGTCCCAGAGGTGGACCTTGTTCATTCATTAAGCTGAGCATTCAGCAGATCCTTTCAATCTGTTGACTTAGGTCCTTCAGTACTGAGATAACTTCTTATATTATTTCTTTGATAATTTCCTCCCACTGTTTTTTTCTGTATTAACTTCTATTACTCAGATACTTCACCTCCTGGCCTGAGCCTCCAATTTTTTAAAAAACGTTTCTCTCCTATCTGTCTCTTTATCTTTTTGTCCTACTTTCTGGGAGATTTCCTTACCTTTATCTTTCAACTCTTTTATTTATTTAGTTGGGGTTTTTTTTTTTTTGCTATCATATTTCTTATTTCCAAGAATGACTTCTTGCTCTTTTATTGTTTCTTTTAAATTATGATAAAATAGACATAAAATTTACCATCTTAACCATTTTTAAGTGTGCAGTTCAGTAGTGTTAAGTACATTCACACTGTTGTGCAACCAATCCCCAGAACTCTTTTCCTCTTGCAAAACAAAAACTCTTTACCCATTAAACAACAGCTACCTCCCCCACCCAGTCCCTGGCAACCACCATTCTACTTTCTGTCTCTATGAACATTGTTTCTTTTTTATAACATTCTATACCTGCTTTACGGATGTATATCTCTTATTCTTTGAGGATATTAATTTTAGTTTTTTTTTTTTTTAAGGTTTTCTTCTACTCTTTGTTCCAAGTTCCTTCTCTTCTGTTTTTTTTTGTGTGTGTGTGTGAAGAAGACCAGCCCTGAGCTAACATCCGATGCCAATCCTCCTCTTTTCTGCTGAGGAAGACTGGCCCGGTGCTAACATCCATGCCCATCTTCCTCTACTTTATATAGCATGCCGCCACAGCATGGCCTAACAAGTGGTGCGTCCTTGTGTGCCTGGGATCCGAACCGGCACACCCTGGGCCGCTGCAGCAGAACGCACACACTTAACTGCTTGTGCCACTGGGCCAGCCCCCTTCTCTTCTGTTTTTATTCATTTGGTTTTGGTTTTGGTATCTATCTTTCATGTTGGACATTGCCTCAAACATCTGTTAATCCTCAGTTATCTCTTTATATTTAAAAGTGAGATGCTAGAAAGCTGTTTGGAAATCTTTTGGGGGTGGGTAGAACTTGACTGGTGGAATACACTGTAGCATGGCTGCGCAGACATCTGTTGGGTTCACTGAGAGAATTCCCAAATGACTGCACCTATACATTTTTCCTCTGAGGCCGGAGAACGATGCTTCTGTTTCACACCCAGAGTATGGAACTCAAGGTGGCAAGTACCTGGCTGCCAGAGTTCTAGAACCTGGATATGGGAAGGAGGCTGGAGGCTTGTTATACAATGTGTACACTTCCACATGACCTCCATGTTTTCAGTCCAGCTCCTTACCTTGATCTCCCTGGAATTCACGATTCTATAACTTTTTTTAGTTTAATTTCTCCAGGAATAAACCACCCATCTCCTGTGATGAGGGAGAAGCGGCTGCCTGCCTGGGTGGGATGGAGTATAGCAAAAACTTTTTAACGTTCAACTAATTCTACTGCTTTCAACCCCAAACCTCATTCTGCTTTCTGAAATACCTGGTCCCTCGAATTCCTAAGGCTTTTGGTATTCTGCTGGGTGAATCAGCTTGTTTCTCATCAGTATTCCTTTCTGAGGGCACTTAGGTTTCCTTCTGCTAAGTCAGTTTCCACTTCTCCATCTACTGTTTAAATTCATCTATTATAATTTGGATTATCAAGGTCTTGATCCAGGATGCATGACCTGGATAAAAAGGAACAACCTAACTGCTCAGGGAAATTAGTTGTAGATTTCATTAGGAAGCAAAGGTGACATAAGACTACTCAGTTAAGATTAAAAAAAAGAGAAAAGTGATCACAGATGAGTTCTGGCAGCCAGCAAAAAATAAGACAAGACAAAAAACTCTATAATAAATAATATATAATATATATTGAAAATTAAACTGTGAGAGTAATGAATCCTTAAATGCCAAGGGTAATTTATATTCCTGTGCATTGCTGTTAGTTTTCATAAGAGTCCAGTATATAAAATATGTCTAATATTTAGTAAGCTATGTAACTGTGTTCTGATGTATCAGTGCCAGCATTAACATGGGATCTTTTCCAGTCTCAGTTTTCAATTTCTAAACACCTCTAAAAAAGAAAAATTCTCAGTGGAGAGAAAGCAACTCGCAGAATTCCAATAATAATTTGACAATTTTTGAAGCTGAAAATGTACAATTCTTTCAGGAAGCTGTAAAGCGACTGTGGTAAGAACCCTTTTCAACATCAAGTGATCATATGAAGTAGTCCCAGTGTAAGGTGATGGGGAGGAGAGGTGACCATAACATTCTGGAGGGGACATGCTCCCTTAAATGGACAGCCACTGCTTAGTTCCAGGTTGCTGCCATGTAGAAAGATGGGCCCAGAGTAGCCAGATCCTCCAACTTCTCAAACGAAGCCAGAAATTTAGATTTTTAAAATGTGACATGTTACAATTTTTAAATGTTGACACTAAAAAAAAATAAGAATACTGTGTGGTCCAAATAATACCCCTTGGCAGGCTACATTCAACCCACAGACTGCCAGTTTGTGACCACTGATTTAGACTATCCAATTCTCCCTTAGCCACAAGGGGCTTTTTTTCTCTGTCCATGAGGACACATCACAGCAGCTCTTGGACATGAACAGGTACTGCCGAATGAGAGCACTCATGATACCCTTTAATTTCCATCAAAGGAACATAAGACAATCACTGGCACAGCCTCTTCTTCCTCCCCTGCCTTCTAGATTACACCCTGGAGTCCTGCCGTTCACTATGCCAGGTGGTCATAACATATTATATAGGAAATTGTATAAGTAATAAAATAAAATAAAAATTAATAACTCGAAGGATTTATAGAGCATCTATCTCCCAAGACTGTAATAGCACTCCATGTATATCATACATTTTTACAAAATAGTAAGTGACAAATAATCTTGTTCTTCTTTAATAAATGAAGGTGACCTAAGAGTGGCATAATGAAAGTGGTTCTAAAATCAAAATTGTTCATTCATTTCATTTTTAATTGACTTCTTAAAGAATAACTCTACAAGAATGTCCCTACTAACTAACTGGTGGTCTAGTGGTTAAGACTCTGTGCTCTCACTGCTCTGGCCTGGGTACATTTCCTGGTAAGGGAACCACAGCACCCGTTTATCGGTTGTGACACCGGGGCGGCTGGCTGTTGCTGTGATGCTAAAGCTATGCCACTGATATTTCAAATACCAGCAGGGTTACCCACGGTGGACAGGTTTCAGTGGAGCTTCTAGACTAAGATCAGGAGGAAGGACCTGATCACCCACTACTGAAAAAATTGGCCAGGAAAACTCTATGAATAACAGTGGAGCATTGTTGCTAGAGCACTGGAAGGTGAGAGGATGGCACAAAAAGACCAGAGGGTTCCGCTCTGCTGTACAGAGGGTTGCTAAGAGTAGGAATCAACTCGACGGCACTAACTAACAGCAAGCAGAAGCATGCCTTATCTTTGATAAATGGACCTTGTAATAAAATAATTTAAAAAAATAATAAAATATAAATGGACTTTGTTTTTTTCTTGCATAAAGTAGATGGTTAGTAAATATCTATTGTTCTGCTTTGATTTATTACGTTAGTCTACTGCACTAATAGTTGAATTCTATGTAAGGAGGCTCCCAATAGGCATATGTTTGTTGACTGGCTGAATACCTCTGCCAATACATCTGCCAGAAACCGTTTCCTGGTTTCCTTAACTGTACAACAAGTAGCTGAATGAAACCAGAGATTTCACATCTTTTAGCAGCAGATTCTCTTTCACAAGTAAAATCGTTATGTAGAACTCTGATATAAAACAGATACTCTGCTTGAAAGTGGGAGGGAGGAGTCCAAGAATTGCAAATTTTAGCCTCTCTTCTTCCCTCCCTCCTCTTCCCTCACCTGCTCCTCACTCTCTGTCCCCCAGGTCAGAAGACCTTCAGGCATCTCCAAGGAGATTTCTCTGTTTAGAGTTTGAAACTACTTGACCAGGTGATATTTAATTTCCTTTTCCTTTTAACTTGATTATTCCTTGAGTCTCTTCCAGGTAATAACATGAGCAAACATTGTATCTAAACTGGTAGTCTACTCTGATGACTATTCTATTTTCATTCTCTTTCCTCTTCTGCAGCACTCAGAAGCTCACCCTTTGATTGGTTTTAATCTTTATAATTTACCTTAAAAATCACATTATGTATACTCTCTGCTCAGTAAGTTTTGCAACACTCTTTGATCAATAAAAAACTGTTATTTTCAAGTAATACAATGGAATCCTATATAGATATACTTAATGGACATAGATGTCAGTACAATAGAACTACATAGTGTAAATAATAAACAATAGTTACAATTCCTTTACAAGAAAAAATTTAAAAATATGTACTGTTTAATTTTCCTTCTGACTTAGAAGGTTAAAACCAAGATCTCATTTATCATAACTAAATGCCACCTTAGGCCACCTTATCTCTCTACTTCAGGAAAAAAAAAAAGAAAAACATTTAAAAATAAATGGGAGCTATAAAACAATCACTAGAAAACTTCTTGTGTAACACAGGTGACTATACGTTCAAGTGTCCTCAATTACAACACTGCATATTTGAAAGGAAATGTGTTACACTGACTTTTTATTTTTTAAAACTACTATTCCTACAAACTATGTCTCAAATCTAAGAACAAAGAACATAAAGTTTTCTTTTCAAAACAGTAATTGGCAATCTACCTGAAAGATCCTGAAATTCAGGCTTTTGACTGAAGATGAGGTAGTTAGTGGCAATGAAATGAAGCAGCCAGGTGGAGAGGCAGTCAGAGTGGTGAAACTGCAAGAAAAATGGAAAGTGAAACAACACTGCATATAACCCATCAATGCGAGGATTAGACCAAGAGAATGGTCTGGGAGGACGCACGGAGAGCCCACACCCATGTTTCGTGTGTCTGTACACGGCACAGCCTTCAGCCTACTCTGGCAGCAGAAAGGAAAAGGGAGCGTTATTAACAAATAAAATTACATCAATGAAGAAACTGAATCATATGAACAAGCTACTGCTGCTGAGCGGCTGAATGCTCTGAAACAGAGGCAGGGCTGCATCTGTGGTTAACAAAGACTATTGGGGGTTCTTGAGGATTTAGGTGAAGCATTTAATCTAAGGTCATGACCTTCACTAACCGCACTTGTATCTGTGTAGCAGAGAAAAGATTATGCTTAGCAAAGGTACACCCTTGGCCATATCTAAACAAGTTCACCTGAGAAGCAAACCAAAAAATATCTTGAGAAGGAAATGTCATCAACCCAAGGGTATGGGTTTCAATGTGTAAATATTTCTATGGGAAGGTTATGTCTGAATAGTTGCTTTTAACTGGGATGTACTGTTATGCTGAGCAGCACATCTGCCACTCTGAGTTCCAGTAGCTAATGGAAGGGAAACTTAGAGCAACTTGGCCATGACATCGTCACCTTGGTGCTAATCCAGTGACACTCACTGATGCACCTAGCCACTCACTTCAGACTACAGTAACTCGCTGGCAGGTACACGGTACAGTTCTTTTTATTATTACTGTGGTAAAATATACATAACATAAAATACCATTTTAACCATCTTTAAGTGTACAGTTCAGTGACATTAAGTACAATCACATTATTGTGCAACCATCATCATTATCTATTTCCAGAACTTTTTTATCATCCCAAACTGAAACTCTGTACCCATTAAATAATAACTCCCCTTTTCCCCCTACCCCCAGTCCCTGGTAACCACTATTCTATTTTCTTTCTATGAATTCGACTCTTCTAGGTACCTCATATAGGTTGAATTATACAATATTTGTCCTTTTTCTGTTTTATTTTATTTAGCATAATGTCCTTTCATCCATGTTGCAGCATGTATTAAAATTTCATTACTTTCTAACGCTGAGTAATATTCCACTGTTTGTATTACCACATTTTGTTTATCCATTCATCTGTTCATGGACATTTAGGTTGTTTCCACCTTTAGACTAAATATAGCTCTTTTAAGGACACTCAAAAATAGTATATAAGCAATAAGTAATGTTAAATTGAAGAAATATTTGTAATCTCAGATCTTAAGGAAGAAACTCAAGTATTGCTCCTTTAAAAAGTTACAATGTGGGAATATTGTAACATGTAAATTCACAAGTCTCTGATTTTCATTATACAAAATCAGATTTTTGGATTGTAAGAGACTTTATAGTTTATTTAACCCCACATCACATTTTAACAAATCTTTTTTCACCTTATCTTTTAGCAGATGAATGTGAGTGATCTCAAGGGAATAGAGCAAGACTGTGTAGCTATTTTAACTGAAGCCACCAGAGCAGATAACCTACCAACAGAAATTCAGAATGTTGCCTAAGGGCAGTGACTTTAAAGAGAAGAGAGATCACAGAAATGAACAACTGGCTACAAAAACATGGTTAAAATGCAAAAATTTCATTTTTGACCAAGATTTAAGATATCATAATTGTGGACTCTTGACAAGAGACAGAATGCATCTCACTGTAAGAACTACTTTTTTGGAAGAATATGTGCTGATCTGAGAAAACAGGTTTAAACTGAAATAAACAGAATAAAAAATAAAGGCATTAAAACAAAAAAACTACGAACCAAATGCTATAGCATTTAACAGCTCTGTGAAGAAGAACAATGGTGGAGAAAGCACCCAGAAGCTCACAAGGAAAAGGTCAGAAACAAAACTGGTGGCCTGAAACAGCCAAATATTAATGCACAGATTATAAGTAAGAAACTGAGTTTAAAACTTTAACACGAGAGTAAATAGGACTTCATAGGAATCACCAAAGTTTGGCTCGATAGGGTTTAAAGAGGAGTAAAGATAAAGATATCTCTGCCTCAATCTGAAGGAACTGATCTGATTAAGGGAAAGAAGCTGCTCTTGCATGTTAAGAGTTCAACTTGATGGAAATATACGAACCTGAAGGTAGAATCATGGTAAAGAATTGAGAGAGGTTAGCGGAAAGTAGAAGCAGAAATTAGAGACATCAAAACTGCTCAACTATATCGAAGGTATGAATGATGCTTTCCTGATACACAATACAAAACTGGCAGAGATGATAACAGAGTGATTGGAAAGTCTGATTATTCAGAGAGCTCCTGGAAGTCTAATTCTGCTAAAAGATAATTTCGACTCCTAGAAGTCAGAGAAACAATGAGGGAAAGGTTAACTCAATTCTACCAACCGGATGAACTGGCTGGTGAAGTGGAACCTCAAACTAGGAACTTCAGAGAACTGGGGAAGAAAATCATCCTGTTATCTGGGATTCATAATCGCCAAATTAGGGACCACCAGGAATACCACAAAGGAAAACTGGTAAATGTAGGTTTAATCTTACCAAATAGAAAAGTCTTCAGTAACAAAGAGTAAAATTCAAAAAGTGTTGGTATCTTAGACTTTCATAATTTAAGGGACAGGGAAAACAGGTCAGGAAGAATTTCTGACAATGCAATCATAAATGATGCTAATGAGGAACCAAGTGTGTGTGTATTTGGGGCAGGAGGGCGCCTAGAGAAATCAATGCAACCATACAGGAAGTTCTTTATGCATAAACTATTTATTTATTTATTTATTTTTTTGTGAGGAAGATCAGCCCTGAGCTAACATCCATGCTAATCCTTCTCTTTTTGCTGAGGAAGACCGGCTCTGAGCTAACATCTATTGCCAATCCTCCT